TGTTAATTATCGAAAATTCTTTTTATAGATTTTCACAGAGATACATGTTTAAATTATAATATTATACTCAATCTTTTCGTACTATAAAATCATAACAGAAAATACTTTTTCTCAAAACTAAAAAGTTGGATTTTGCTTAGAAAAAAGAATTAATTGAATATAAAATTAATTTACAATAGCTAACTTTTGCAACAAAGTTGTTACGTCGAAGTTCGACATTACTGAAGGTATAAGTCAGTTATGAAAGTCTAACGATATAAATTACGGAAATAATTATAGTATCTAGCGAGGCGGAAACAAACTTCGTCAAAACTCGGTCTAATTAAATATTATACTTCTTCCTACTTTCAGCTGATGTACAAAATTCCATGAAATAAAAGAAATAAGTAAATAAAAAAATTTCACAATTTCTTTTTCAAATATAAAAATAGGAAATTTAAAAACATTTATAATTATTTTCGGTACATTTTTAACGTAATAAAAGAAATCGCAACATTTATTATTAAATCTGAAAAATATTGAAAGAAAACAAAATTATTCGGAAAAAAATGATAAATTATCTATAGAAAATTAATCTTCAGTTTCAACAGTAATAATGCAATCGATTTCACGAATGTTACAATGACATATAATATCATATTCTTTCCTGAAACATCAAATCACATTTCGGATAATTAAAGCGCTTGTAAAATTAAAAGAAAAGAAAGCAATTCTGTTAGTCGATTATCGTTTTATCTGAATCCAATATATCCATAATAATCTCACTGATGCCTCACTGATGGATCGCGAAATCACATGAGAATGAATTTTACCTGAAATTAATACATATCTATAACTAATGGAATGGATAAGAAGGCGGCGAAATTTCAATTTTCATGAACAATTTAACGACATTCTGTACACAGCCGATGCGTATAACTGTATATACAAGCTGTAAGCTCATACGCATGTTATGGAATGAGGACGACTATTCAGCAGATACCGGCATAGTCGGGAAATTGCGAGATCGTGGAAGGTTCTTCATAACTACAGACGCGCGCGCGCAGCTTCCTGGCATTAGTCCTTCGCGTTGCTGATATAAAGAGCGCAACCCTGAAATTCTATGAGTCCTATGGGGAAAAGCCTGCGATGAGATGGCGTGCCAGACTTATCAGACATCGGCAACAAAGCCGGACGAAGGAAACGAAAGAAATAATGAAGCAGACGTTTATTGTAACCGGTGTGAGAGACATCCTCCGAAAGACGAAGAAGCTTGTATAGCTTGTACAAGATTGCACACGCTGTAGAACAATCAACGAGGGAATGGTTTACGAACAATATAGACATTGTCATCGTAGTGAGAAAAGAGATTACGAATTCTTCTTCCATTACTTGTAAGATTCCTTTCAAGAGATATAAGTAAATAAAATAATTTATTAATAATAGATTATAAATAACCATATATTACAGTTTATGATCAAATAATGATTACTTAAATAATAAAAAAGATAGAAAATTATTTTTAAAAAGTAATATAAAATTGATAATAATATCGATGGTTTAAATACAATTCTATTGAATAAGTTATTCATTTATTTGAAATAGTCTGTAGGATAAAGAAAAATTTCGCGAATTTTGAACTTTAATAATTTATTTTTAATGTTAATATAAAAAGAAAAAGCATATAGTCACTATTCATAATCCATATTTTGCTATTAAAATATATTAAATTTAAAAATACTTGTTTTACGGGAAATTTGAATTGAAAGATGTCAAAAAAAATAATTCGTATAATAAAAATATAGTAGATGTCAAAAACAGTAATTCGTATAATAAAAATGTAGTAGAAATTGTTATTATCGGAAATCCATCATGTTCGATAAAAGATTAATATTTATAACGCATTCATATGTATGTCATGTTTCGTTCCACGTTCTTGTTATGATAGTTACTCCACTTTATAAAAAACTTCATCGTTTAAAACAAGAATGCGCCTCGAGTGACTGAAAGCACATTTCACGCCAACATATAGCTCGGATCTCGTAATTGGGCTTTGTCGGGCGAATCCTGTTACGTGGCAGGTGACGACAATGACTTGTGTAATGTTAACAGTGGAACAAGCTTAAGTAAGCTCGTGAGATAGAGAGACAAAATCTACTGTGACAATTACGAGACGACTATAATTGTAATATGATTTAAAGTGAGATGTCAGCACTACTTCGTACAAATATCCTAGTCGCGCATGTCGAATGTATATAATTTTCTCTCTGTTTCTCACGGATATATAATTAGCTTCTGGATTTACTTAGCCAAAATTAAACGGGACAAAATCTAACTCGAAATATCAAGTATCGACGTAAATGCAAAGAATTCAATACATTCTCTGAAAGCCCCGTCTTTTCATTCCCTGCACCTTTCACGAGTCAAAATATCTTCCTCGACTTTCTCCCAATCGGAAATCAATAACAACGCTACAGTAACAAACCTATTGTTTTCGGTCATCCCTCAAAATGCGTCCGAAAATTTTGCTTCTCCGTTCTGAAGTATAAGCAGAAAGAATACCCCGTATGATTTGGCGTTTGTCAGAATACAATTTCACTGATCAATCAAATGCGTCATTTGTCTCATTCACAACCATCTGGCTGTGCGGCGCGAGAAAAAAAAATGACTCCGCTTCCGCGTCCGAATGGAGAAGAATTCCTACCCGAAGGAAACCTTATCACGCCGATTTTCTTTTCGAAGTGTTCTCATTAACGAACAAAAAAATCTGCCATGTGCAAAATTATTTTCGTTCGAGAAAGAATGCTGCCATATTGAAAAAATTAATGAATCATATTATTTCCCTCTCATTCATGTGTCCTTAAAAAAAGTGTGTGTGTGTATATATATATAATGAATTCTAGAATTAAAATGTAAAAGGATGAAGAAAGAAACATAATTATCGTCAATCAAAATTACAATTACGCCTCGAGAGAAATGGAGCGGAAATATTTGGCGCGGTTTTAAAAGTGGTAGAGTATTAAAATGGGAGTTTGAAATTGCGAAACTCTTGCGCCCTTACGCGGAAGAATGCGACTCGGAAAATGCCAGTTTCTCAAAGTTGACATTGTGCAAGCTTCCGCGACTTAATGCAGAAAAGCAAGAGGAATAAAAGAGCGTACGATAATGTACTCTCTGTGTCTTGGCCCGAGAAAATTTACGATAAACGTTCGTATTATTTTCGCGGTAAACTTTTTTCATGGGAGAACACTGCTATGAGAATGTGATGGGGAAGAAAAGCTAGATATGTATATTTGAGAATATAAAAATATCTCGATAACGTGCAAGTTTTTACGGCAGAAATCCATAATAAAGCCGTATCGCATAGCGTTTTTATAGTCTAATGTTAAATTTACAGAGTCCCATAATCAACGAATACAAAAAGCTGTATGATAGAGTAAGAAAAGGAATTCATGTCATAAAAAGTTTATTATTGCAATTGCGAGTTTGGAAAAAATTTCATGTATAATATAATATATATATATTTAAAAACTCCATATTTAATCCAAGAAGAAATATAATACAAAATAAATAAAAAAAGAGAGAGAAAGAGATATCAATCTTTTACTAAATATGATAAATAGTAACTTTGCATATACTAGTATATAAAAAAAAAGTATAAAATGTCAATTTAATAAATGTAAAATAAGATTATGTTATATTTAATTATTTCTTGTACAACGATTTTACTCGACAGTCATTTTATATACATGTATAAATTATATAATGCAATAATAATCATAAAAATTGTACATGAAATATATTAACGTAAAGATTTAAGAAAAAGTACATTATATCATACATTTCGGTAAAGTGGATATTCTTCTAACTTATCTGTTATGTTGTCTATAAAGTGAGATTTCGTGTCGCTCGCAATTCTGGATATCGATCCATTAAGTCCAATGCAATTAACGACTATGGCGGAATAACGCGCGCAACACGACGCCGCGACGTCGACGCACAAAGGAAGGCGTGGCAATGTTCGTCGGAACCCTTAATGCCAATGCCAATGTCAGGGCTTTCCCGGTCAATCACCTATCCTAAACACCCCTACCTTTGTACCTCGGAAACTGGTCGTAGCCCTTAATCGCGATCAAAGGAGCTTCTCTCCTCCTATCATCATTCGCTGATAACTTTTCCACTCATGGTATTACACCAGACTGATTTTGTGAAAAAGACGGGCGATGAGCACTTACCCCTGCAGCGTGCACTTGAGTCAAACCCCGGGGGTTGAAATATCGACTGCACGGCAATGACAGTTTGCCAGGTTACCGACGCTGGAGCTTTTAGCTCTCTGCTGCTTTTACCGCACAAGATACGATGCGATGAAAAATCATAACGATATATATACATGAATTTCGCGATATCACTTTGAAAAGATCGGTAACTGATAATTATCGCAGAATAAAATTTTTAATGCATAGAAAATAAAGCGCAAGTTATTATTATTTAAGTAATAAAGCAGATAAGCAGCGCGTAAAAACGCCCACGATTTCGTGACCGCCGCTTTCGACGGCAGAATCGTTGTTGTTAAAACAAGAATAAAGGAAAGGAAATAAAAAGAAAAAGCGACGGGCTTCCAATAATGCCACGCAAGCACGAATGAGGTAGCTTGGAAGCATTGCAGCTTGGCTCGGCAAATTACGATAAACTTCAAAGGCACGACAACGACCTGGCAATCGTTCGTTCGCGTTTGGAATCTTTACAGCTAAGGCGGTTCAATAAAAGCACATGCGACTAATCAAAATATAAATAACGTAAGTCACGATACACAGATAATTCAAGATTATCACATGTGTGGATCTTGTAATTTTCGAGTAGATGCAAATAAATAATTTTCCTATTATACTTTTGAAGGATCGCGTTGAAAACATATCTTACAAATTGTATCTCATAATACATAAATATTATTTTAATTTAATTGTTAATATCTTAATATATTTCATTATAGATATTTATTCAAAAAGTGAATATTGACTCACCTTTTGCTTATCAAGAAGATGCATAATTTCGTCGACATCGCCGACGACTACGGATTGTTGTCGCAACATCCCTTCTTCGACCGTAAGCCAGTCACGTATCTGCAACATAAGCGACAATCTCATAAGTGAGCAAAAAAATTATAATAATGTACTATGTTGTAACAAGAAATCGTGATATAAATGGTGACTCATATGTGCTGAATTCTCTTTATATTAAAAAAAAAATCTGTGCAATTAACGAAAAATTATAATTATAATATTTTTCTATTAAAAAAATAAATAAAGATAATATCAAACAAATAATCATTTTCAAAACACGTGACTTTAAATTAACAATATATCTTCGATTACTAGTTAATTTATAAATCGACAACTTATCACAAATGGTACATTAAAAAATTAGCCGTAGTAATTAACTCGTGTCTCTTGGGAAAGTGCGAATCGGCGGGAAATGTCTCTATCATCCGAAAGTGGTTCAAATGAGATGGAAAAGAGCCGTTGGCTAGCGAAAAGGGAAGGAGAAGCAAGACCGGAATCAAGATATTTGCTGCCGGAAATTAGTAGGGAGTGTCCGTACGTAAGTGGCCGACTTCGATTTACGTCGTACCACAATATCCATTAAGAAGTAAGGATAAGCGAACATGAAATGGGTATTCTGAAAAATTTCTATCCAACTTCGAAGAAATATTCCATGTGATTGCAATTTAAATTCTTGATCCAAAAGTAGTTTTATTTTCGCAACATGTTAAATAGCATACATGTGGAATAAATAATCGTATGAAGTAATTTTCAAAGAAAATAATATCCACCCGCAAAAAACAGTTTACAACTTAATTATTGTAAATGGATTAGAACCAGCAATACACAGCGTGAGTAAGCACTCTCAATGGCATTATAAATTTACATTTTCCAACAATCATTATGATGGAGTTTTTTCTTGTAAATGGCTCTATTGGCGCGTTTAATTAAATATCAAGGCGAGTTGCGTAATCGCATTTCCATTGGAACAACTACGAATTGTAAAGCCAATAATACATTTAAAAGCCCATACGGGCACGTGTGCACGTGTAACGCTCCGCTAGACACCGGCAATATTTCTGCTAGCGATTTTAGCGTAGCTTGCTCGCTGTGTATTTCGCGCACGAGAGGGAATTCTACTTGAAATACTTGAAAAGATCGTGGCATCCAAATAAACGTTTATGTGACAAACAATATATTGAAAAAAAGCACTACGAAATTCTCGGATTGACACTCGGCTGATCATCGATCGGCGAATATAAGCCAGCGGGCAAGGAACCCGAACTAGCATTCGACGAGGGTTTCGAATCGCGAACATGGAACTTTCGAGGGAGTCGATAAATCGCGGGAGAGATAAACCGTAGTGCTACAGGAAATTAAGGTCTCGCTCGGTCCGGCAAGCCCCAGAGTCTACCATCTAGTCTAAGCTCCGGACCTCGTTTCGCCTTTCACCCACCCTTGTCCGAAGCGGTCTTGATTAAGTACCTGTTGTCGAAGTGTCTGATCATATCCCTTGCATTTCAAAATGAGCATAAAATCACGATTTATACATTTTCATAATTGGAAGATTAATCGTTCTTTTTCTGCAAGTGCAAAAGTTCGAAAATCCGCGTGTGTGATTAAAATATACAAGTCTAAATAATAATCCCTGTTATTTAGCAAAATTCATAATTATTCGAGAAATCATATTTACACACTTTATTATTGCTTTCAAAATAATTCATTAAATTATCAAGAGACTTAAGAATAAGAGATAAAAATAAAATTGAAAACATAGATTTTTTTTCGTTCAATTTTTACGAGAGATATAATTCGTAAGATGTACACTTTTATTAGTTTTTTAAAAAGAGTTTGTTAGAAAATATAAGATATTGAAGCTTCTTCGATATTTTTATTTTCTGATTTCTAGACAACTGAAATATAGCTACCATTTATTGTCTGCTACGATATAAGCTTTTACGATATAAAACTTCACGAGTAAGCTTACGTGTCCGTTATGTATTTTTCACCACACAATCTATATCTATTCTTATGCACAGTGCGTTTCATCGAGAATCGTGAAAGTTTCTGAGAATTCCGCTTCAAGAATTTAACGATGGACTTTAGCATCCGAGCAATAAAAAAAGACGTGATAGAAGGTACACACACCTCCCTTCGGAAATCAACTGCATCGAGAACGTTGCTTGGCAGCGATCGAATAGTGCGATATTTTTACTTTGACGAGCATCGTGAGTTTCAACCGTAACATTGATACAAAAAAAAACTATTATTCGATCATTCTTTATCCGATAACTCTATACTTATTTTCAGTTCGATAACTAAAAACATATCCAAAGAATTGAAAGATATTGACTTGCAAATGATTGTCTCTTCCATGTTTATCTTACAATAAAATACTCTTCGCAAGAAACCGATTCTCGAAATGATGTTGTTCCCCGAGTGACAATAAACGCGGAAAAGTTGGCGCAGATGCACTTTGCACGAAGTTTCTCGATTGTCGCTCTATGACTTTCTGATGCATCAAACAGTTCATTGAACAAACTGTTTCATTTTCCTTCTATAGCCTCTCTTTGTTTCAATCGAAACTTTTATTATTATTGTAGTGTTTGCAAAACCGAAAATGATCATTCTCCAGCAAGATTATTATCGCACTTTAATAAAAATGTAACAAAAAACATATTTAAAAAGATAAGAGATGTAACGAAAAACATTGAAAAAGATGTTAATAAACCACTATTAAAAAATTCTTCTTGCGATATTAATTCTTTTAGCATGACGTGAATTATGAAACAATGTTAAAAATTTCAGGTTTTGCTCCATTCAAGCTTCGTTTAATAATTTATGTACATATAAATCTTTCTAGTAATTAATTCGGAATTAATTGAATCATTGAAAAGACAAAAACATGGGAATATCGTCGTAAATCACTTTCATATACCTATGTGGCAATTGGAAAACAATGTCTGCTATTTCAGTATTTTATACAGAACACATGTAAGCTTTCGAACTAGCCTCACATATTTTGTCACAAGGGTAACCAAGAATCTAATAAGCTGAATACCGCAAAGAGACTCAAATTATTGGAGTGCCACAGAAACGCGCGAACACGGGAATTCGGTATAGGAAACCGCATATTAACATTGTGTTCGGAGAAGTTTCAAAATTCAAATTTATTTTATATACGATGAGAATTTGTCTGGTCGAGCACAAACATTTCTTATTTACATTAATTAATCAAGCCTACAATTTAATAAAATTAATGCTTTGTATCAATTAAACCAAAGTAAAGCATAAGATAACACACAATCAATTTATATAATGTCGCAAATTATGAAATTAAAAAAAGAAATTACATCTTTTAGAATGTAAAATAGATATTTAAAACGATATCAAATATTCTAAATAAATTGTATACGCAACATATAATTTTTTTAAGTGAGACGAAATATTTCAATCCCTATTATTGACTTGAATGAATTAAGATTCTTGAAATTAACTCCACAGCTGAATCAATACGACAAGCAGTAAATAAAACATGGTTTACCATCATAAAAATAAAATTTCATTTTCAACTTGATTTCTGTTCAAGTTTCGTTACCTCGAGGCATCTCATCGCTTTATGCAAACAACACAATACTTGTCAGTGCGACAGCGTAGCCGGAAATAGAAACAGGGAGATAGCTGTTATGGCGTTGGATGGGCTGCTTGAATCTGACTGTTGACTTGGCAAATAGGAAAAGCGTACTGGAGCTTGTGTAATGTTGACCGAGATGTTGGTAAAAGTTATCTGGACAATAGACAAAGATGTTAAACGTTGTCGAATTATATTTACACTCGTCAAGTTTCATACGCTGTATATCACTGTAGCTATTTGATTACTCTGCTTTTAAATATTTTTTATCGGAATCAAACTTAATATTGCAACATTAAAATATATTGACATAATAAATGTATCGTCCTCGCTTTCCAACAGTTGCACATAAGCAACATATGCAAGATCAAAAGTTGTTTCACCTTTACGAAGTACACGTAAAATGTCACGTTTTCAAAGGAAACTGTAACGTGACTCTGAGTAAAAGGGCAAAAGACGTTTCGCGAAATATGAACGTGATAACTTGGGTCGCAAGAGTTCAAAAAGAAGAAATCCTTTAAAGACAGGTGGAAAAAACGCGCTACGACCTCAGCGAAAGAAATTCCTGAGGATTTTAACTGACAGTCTAAGTGATATAATATGCATCTAAGTTATATCGTGCAATTAATATATCTTAACGAAGCAAAACGGATCTTAATAAAAAATACGATTAATTCAAATAATAAAAAATAACCAAAATATACAAAAGGAATAAAAAAACATGTACACTTGATTAAATGATATTGTAATATAAGCTAAAAGATATACTTGAATTTAAGGATCAGAATAAATATTATGGAAAGCAAAGCGAGGTGGAAAGATATTCTCAGCAAAACCAAAAATATAAAATGTTGATCACTGACGTATATATGATTATCGTATTTACTAAAACCAAGTAAATTTTTCGGGTTAACCAAGATCTTTAAATTAAATTTTGGATGCTAGTCTGTACATTTCCGCTCGAATTCCAGTCGAGCGGAAATGTACAGACTAACGGATTTTGAAGAGAGCATCCTATAAAGATACGAAATGGCATTTGACTTAATTTATTTTAGAATATTTACTAGATTATGCTCCCGAGTTATGTGCGTCGTAAGAACCGCAACACGAGCACGAAGAGTGAATGGGGCTCAGAATGGCGTAAAGGGAGAGAAGCTGACAGAGTAATTCGATAAAATTGACCGAGTTATACGCCTGCATGAACGTCGCGTCGGTCCTTTCCCTCTTGTGCTGTCCACACCGCCGTCACACAAATCTAATTCTTGTCCCTGATAACCGAACTTGTGCCACCAATTGCAGAATATTCAGACGGGATTTCATTTCTTTCGAAATTTGCCGTCGTAATCAGATCGCAACTGGAAAAGAACGTGCAGTCTAGAAGCCCAAATCTCATGAAAAGTATGCTGATGTAATAAGTTATTCGCGATTAACAACAGGCAAGTTCTATAAAAAAGTCATTTACAATTCTCATTGATTCAACGAAGTTATCATGCAGTTTGATCGCCATTCGCATAAAAAATTTCTCGAAATTTGCGCATCCAAAAATATTATCGATAATGAGAAATCATTTTAAAAAATTAAGAAACATAAAGTAACGAGAATAATATTCAAAATAGAAGCGATAATAAATAACTACTAATAAATGATTAAATAATTAAATCAAATAAAGAATAAAAACAATTTCGACAAGCAGATATTTTCAAATATATTATATGATATTATATTTCATAAATTATGTTTTAATATGCACTTCACATAATAGGCGGAATGTAATTTAAAAGCGTAATGAAAAAAAATTTTATTGCAGCAAAGGTGTGATATATAAAAGCATAATAGAATAAAAGGTTATCTAAAAGGACGGCATTCTTAACAGAACCACGAAAGCTTTTGTTATTCGCGAAGTTAAAATGTCACGCACGAAGCGCCGTCCGATTACTCCGTGACAGTTTGACATCTCTGTCTACAAAAAAGGTATATATATATCTCCCCTGTTTCCGTATTCTCGGTACTTCGTCACAGATTTACATGTAATTTATGACGAACCGTGTTTCAGAGAGAAGAGAGCAGTGGTAACAAAATTTGTTTCGCCGCTTTATGAAAGTCGGTACGCGTAAGCGAAAGCGAAATAATATAAAGGGGTGAATAAAATTAACTTTCAATAAATGTTAATTCGTATAAAGAAACTTTCAGTGCGAAATTTATACTAACTTTAGCGCAACGAAACATTGCTTCAAATTTCTTTTTTATCGTTTATATAAATTTTAATTAAATTTTCCTAATTTTCTGAAATTTTAATTAAATTTTCCTAATTTTCTGATTTATTAATTATAATATTGTGTGTAACATATCGATAATAAAACAGAGAAGAGCGACAATATATCAGAAATATCGATCAGCTATATCATTCTACTCTGAATACCAAAGGGAAAGCGAATATAATCTAGTCGACACCTCGATAATCAAGTTAAGACTCCTCGTCCCGCAGGGACACATTGCAATATACATACTAGCATGCACACAGAATAGAATATCGCAATTATGTATGCTTAATACAATCTACGACAGCGTTTTAATTTACGTTTACAAAGAGAACGGTTACAAAGAGAGTTTTTCCATCAGAAGCCACATAACAGACTTCTGTTCTTTTTTTTGGCTGTAGTTTTCTTTCTCTCTTAAAAGTATAAATATATACTTGTCTCAATTTAAATACAGAAATTTTTTTAAAAAATAAATTTAAAAAAAAATCGTAGGTACAGAGAACGATGAAAATAATATCCTACTCGTTAAGTTAAAAAAGAGTGCAATATGAAACCCAAGATATAGCTACATAAACATTCATATCGATTTAATGATATATATTCATTATTCGTACCCCTATATTTTTATATCTCATGTAAAAACGTTATTTTGCATGATATTACGTACAATGTTACAGGCTTTTTTATTCGCGTTTTAATATACGTACAAAAAATGAATCGGTTTCATTTACAGTATCTAGACGAATTTGTCGAAAAATTCGCGATTTTTCACGGTAGTTTAACATATTTTCTGCTGACATTCGCTCGGAAAACACGCGACCTTACTGTCGGATCCCAGCAACGCACATTATGCTGCCATATTCTCATCAGCCTCTCTCTACGCATTCGCGTAATTTATGCACTTTAATTAGCCGAGATGCCCGAGGACAGGCAAGCTCTTGCCATTATCGTAACTCCGCCATTTTTGGGGACGCGGAAAAACGACGAAGTTTTGCATTACAAATTTCTCATACTTTTGTCCAACATAAAATTTCTCGTAAAAAGCTACGTATTTGAAATAACAACGCAGTTTCTATCGCGGGAGAAAAAAAGTCGGAGTACAGAGTAAATCGATTTCCAACAAGAATAATTGCAAAAACTATCGCAAAACATTTGTTCTTCTCGTTGAGAAGATATTTCCATCTCCTCGTAGCGTATTACCGGAGTAATCGAATCAATATCTTTCGCGATCGGGTTCCCCGAAATTAACCGACCATTAATTATTATTTGTTATGCCGAGTGTCTGATTTCTGACATCAGTGATATCAATCTCATTAATTTTCTTTCTACCACATAAAAAAATATTTCTATTCTTAGTACAAATTTATCGTCGTTTTATGTATAGTTTTATCGAAGCTTTACTTGTTAACATTTAAATAAATTTTCGCGAGGATAATAAATAATCTCTCAAATTAAAATACAATACATATTGATACAATGTAAATAATCATTGTATCAATATCTATTTTCGTTTCATTTTAGTTGAGTGAATATTCAAAAGAATCCAAATATTTTACACAATTGAGATATAAAGTCATTCTTAAAATAACATTTTTACACGTGCCATCTCCATGAACCAACATTATTCCAATTCATTTATATAAATTGTGTCTACTGACGAATGAAAACTAATAAAATCCAAATAAAAAACGACGAGAGCTACGTATGATAACGATCGACTCGAATGCACTTAAATAGCACATGATAAAAAAAAATCCCATATACGTTCCTCTTCTTCGTACGTATCTTTCAGTTACATTGTCCTGGCAGCTTCACGCACGCGTATAAGTAAGTGAGCTTACCTGAAGCACTGATTTATCGAGTCCCGCGACAAGAGCGGAAGCTGAGGTGGAGGGTGAAGGTGAAGACGAAGCCGAGGAAACGGAGGGACTGCTAGTCGCTACGGGGGTCGACGGTGATGAGGGGGCGGGAGAGGGTGACAGCCCCCGAGAGCCCCCTGCAGCTGCACCCGCCGCCCCCGGTGCTGCGGTGCCTACACTCCTTTCCACTTCTGTAACAGGGAAACAAAACCATATCTCCATTAGAGCGTGGCGCATCGTGTCGTAAAAGTCGGCAGGCCGTATCTCCTGCGGTTGCCCGCCGACGTGACGAAAATTGATGCGCTCTCGGCGCATCGGGAAGCAAAGCGAGCATTCAGACATCAACGATGTTTCCATGCCGCCATATGTGTACATCGAATTATCGATATCATTCGAGCTTAACGTCACTAATGATTCACGACTGCGCGATTAACGAGAGATCACTGACTTGTTGAGTTTCTCATGAAATATTTCCCTTCGTATAATAATACGGGAGTAATCAAATCGATATTTTCCGAGATCGGGCTCCGAAATTAACCAACCGTTAATTATAATTTATTGTCCTAAAGAGATGTAATGATATGTTTATCAGACTTTGTTGATTTTTTTTCTGTCGTATGAAAATACATTTCTGTTCTAAAAATTTAATTCGCCGACGTTGTATTTTTTCTCACGTACGGTGACGGATAATGAGATAGAAAGGACAAGTTCGCTGAAGGAAGATAGAAGCAAGAGCCGAGGCGGAATGTTTCGAGGCACGTACCGAAGGATGCACGGTCAATTCATTGAATAGGAAAGTAATTTTCATAGTTTATAAGTTTACTCGTTTCATTCTCTCTCGGATCGAGTCGGGGCGAGGCTATGGCATATCCCAGGTGGAACCTTACGCTAGGGTCGTCGAAGACGAGCTTAATGCTCGTCTCTAATGTAATTGAAAACTTTCGTAAACGCTTTTTCGTACCCCTCGATTTGTAACGCTCGTCTACTAGCGCTTAAACGTTACTTAGAAACGCATTGCGCGCCACTTACAATCAATAATGATATAAAACTCTGCTCTTTTTCTATCTTATAAACATTAATGTATCCCATATGTACAGAAATACAAACGGGATACATAATGTATATACATATTGTTGTTTCGATAAAGAGTAAATTAATAAATTAATAACATTTAACGATTATTAATTATTAATAATTAATAATAAGTAATAGTACAACTGTAATTACATCTGTTGTAATAATACAATATCGTGAGCAGAAATGTTTATATTATCGATTGGCAATAATTAATATTAATTGCACACATTAAAGTTTCTACAGTTATTTTTTATTATGTTAGAATAAAAAATTTTATATTTTTACATTGCATAAATATGCATTTTAATATTTTATATCATATGACTGCATTGGCAATCAGTAAATCGAGCTTGTAAACATTTTCAAACATTTCCGTTTGGTTCATTAATCTCAGTAATTAACCATGTAATTTACTGTTGTAATATATTATTGCTGTTATACATTCGTATAGCAAATACGAGTTACAGCAATATACAATAATAGTTACATGTTTATTTACTGTTTAACGAATTAAAATAAAAATTTTTAATAACTTTATAATTTCGCTTGACTATAATCCCAAGGATTATTATAAAATATATATTCTATTCGATATATACTATAAGAATAAATTACTCATATATTATTTTTTCTTTTTAAATCCAATGCAGAACAATTTTGCACATAGCGAGAAACATTTAATAGTTAAAATTAATTTATATTTCGATATATGATTCACATATTATCATCAATTAGTATGTGTGTATTAATAAACCAGTTATAGCACACACAATCATTTTAATACAATATTATAAATTAGTTGAAGTAATAAGGATTACAATACTTGCTTTCAGACAAACATACCGCAAACATACCGCTGGAATCCTCTCTAGTTACCTTACAGTTAATCATTTATTTGTACAGCTATGCAAGCGCGATGTTCTCATTTACTCGATAAGAATAGTACTAAACACTGCGTAAAATTAGCAAGGAAATTACTTCCACAGTATGCTTTAAGTACTTGTACTCATATACCTGAGAGAAAAAAAAATCGTCAAAGATCTTCCGTATTTATATGGTATGCTAATATGAAGAAACATATAAAAAATTAATCTCATTGATGCTTAGAAATTATAGATTGATGTTATTCGAACGTATTAATTTCTATACATATTAATGCACACTTCACAATGTGTAATTTATAATTTAATTTTGTTGGCAAAAATTTGCAATCAAGAAAATTATTTATTACATATAATAAAAATTCATTTATTAATTACAAAGTTGAAATATGCTTGAAAATAACCTATATATATAATAATAGCACAAAAATCGCTAGAAATATCATAAACATTAATTTCGATAAGATACTACGAAAAATATTTTTACAGTTTCGTCTAGCATCGGTATCTAAATATTGCATCGAGCACAAGAGAGATATGTATACTTTCCACAATAAATTCTAAACGTGCCGCAATTCAAAGAACTCGCAGTCTCCAGAGATTATAAATTATGCGCACAATCGTCTCAGTTCAGTTTTAAAGAAGCTATTATATTTTTATTTCCGGACTTTTTTGCCTAAACTAGTATCAGCGAGCATTATCTTAACAACTGGTCCTGCTATCTTTTCATTACTGAATTTTATATATCGTTATATTATCTAGAATCGGGACAAAAAGAAAAATGTCAAAAAAAAAAGACCAAACGACGAGCAATGTTGGCACGAGAGAACAGTTGCTCGCGTAATTATTCACAAACCGCGAAACTTTCGTCGGCAAAGAATTTTTCCGACTTTGACGATATTTCTTAACGCATTTGCTAAACTTCGAGGACAATCTATACGTTTACAATAAAGTACTTTGTCGTCGGAGCGATGAGAAACCGGTGGGCTACGGGCAGTTCTGCTAATTCAAAGGGAAAGCAGTTATGCAAACGTACCGCGAGACATTCACCGTGAACTCTCACAAGGATACCGTTCACCTTCTGAAGCTCAAATTTCTTCGCGTCCCATCTCGTCCGCTCGAGCAAATTGTGTGCATACAATTTGCGAAGTTGAGAACTGTGAAATCTCGGCCGAAGCAGCCCGACTGCTACGAGGAAGATAGCTACCTCAATTTAAAGACTACTTTACGTAGTTATGCGCAGGACGAATTAAAGTAAGGAAATCGTGTTATTTAAACGCAAAATATATGAACGAAAGTAAAATGTTTACAGTGATGTTTACAGTGATATTATGTGATAAGTATAAAGACAGAAAATGTAGAAATGTAATAAATTTTGTTGTTGCAGAAAGTTGAGTACATTGATATTTAAATAAATAAAAGTAATTATTATATTAGTATAAAGTAGTTAAATATAATTAACTATTTTTCTATTTGTTAAAAAATTGATTTAAAATTTCATGGTTTACATTATTCATCATATAAAAAAATTTAAATATATAGAATTGAAGGAAAATCGGGCGGAGGTTACACAATATATTACTAAATAATCATATGCTTTAAGTTAAAATGTGCAAATACACATGTATTTTGGCTGAATTTCCCATAACCAAAGAATAGAAACTTAATATAGATAAGACACAAGATTCGGCGCATAAACCACAGAATGTTTACAAAGTTCTATCATAAGTTGTCGCAACCTCTAAGTCTCGTGTACGCAAGGAATTACATAATCTCCATGGCGGTTGGATAAGTTACGATATACGCTAAATACATAATAAGCATGACGGTGCATATCTTGCTTCCTTCCGTCTTATCAGATTAAAGTAAGCAAGAGCGAATTCCTAGTCAAGAGAATTGATCTAAACTTCTTCGCAAATATCATGGAAGATATATTTTACAAGAAGTAATTAAAAACGACCACACTGGCAAATTTTTATTAAAGTGAATCACGACGTTTCGACCATGGTTTTGGTCCTTTTCGAGTGAAAATAATTTAGTTAACTATTCTATCGTGAGAAATAAGGAAATCACTTTGTCAGGATTGTCATGTCAACCGTCTCCATCAACACACAGAAAAAGACAGTCTTTCTCTGTGTGTTGATGGAGACGGTTGGCATGACAATCTTGACGAAGTGATTTCCTTATTTCTCACGATAGAATAGTTAACTAAATTATTTTCACTCGAAAAGGACCAAAACCATGGTCGAAACGTCGTGATTCACTTTAATAAAAATTTGCCAGTGTGGTCGTTTTTAATTACTTCTTCTATTTTATTTACTGGCGATCTTCAAGAGTTTAATGTTATAATTTTACATATTTTATATGTAGAATTATATATTATTATATATTATATATGAGATATATACGAAATTATACATGAGATTTTATTTTAAAATAATATTGCTTTCTCTCATGTCTTTTACAATATTAATTTATTTACGGATGTTTCTTTTCCAGTTGTATTTTAAATAATCTTCGGTACAAAAATGAATTATGACAACGACAAGCTGTCACAAGTCACAAAGTCAACACGAGTCGTAAAGTAATATAAAATTATAGAATTTTATAAATTGTCTTGAAACGATAATGAAAATTATAAATATTTTTTTTAATAATATAAAATACAAATTTTTCCATTTTCTCTATATAAAAATTCTATTTTAAATAAATTTGAAATAATGTATTTTTATTCTCAGCTGCATCATTGAAAAGCTTGATATTTTTGCAGAATATTTAAAATTCAAAAGAGAAGTCGTATTTATTCCCCTACTAATTTAGACAGCATAACGCAAATGATACTTCCCGATGCTGCATGGTCTGAAAGAAAGTGGTTCTTGAAGAGGGCATTCGTAACACTTGTCGCTGCAGCAGCTGCTAGGAGCGAGTTATTATTCTCGTAATAATGGCAACGAGGGTAGAAACGTTTTCGATACCACACGATGAGCATTACTCAAAACGCGTATCAAAAATAACAAAATACGCACGTACAAAAATTAATAGAAATTTTTTCTGACTACAATGAAAAAAATAAAATATGTTTCATAAAATATATTTTCATTAAACAATAAAAGAACAAATTCAACGAAAATGCATTCGTAGCAAAATTGAAAATGTAAAGCATTATCGTTTATTTTGGAATATACAAAACAAGATCATATATTAATTCACGCATTATCATTTATCTTGAAATA